GAACAACTTTTACAATCGTTGATCGGTTTAAATAAAGATTTTAATTGTGTATTATATACGTTGTTCGTTTGTGGATTTTATTATCCTAAATATGTACACAAGTTTCTTGAATTTTAATCTTTTAATATATAAATAGACAACCTTCTTATATATGGACCTTAAAATACAAGATCCCCGTTTCTCCATTACCTTAGTTGTAACACGCGAAAGGATAATTAAATATCATAAATTAAGAGACAAAATATAGTTAAGTTAAAAACTTAATTTCCGCACCTAAATGCCATTTGTACGGTTTTATCCTATCAAATCCAAAGAAGGGAAGACCAAGGGTTGAATCTTTTACAATCCATTACCTTTGAGGGCTTGAGTAACTAACTAAAAACTTACAATTGAGTTTAAAATTCTCAACAGGTCAATTTTTATTTCTTCAGGGCAGAAGTGTGATAATAAAAGTAACAGTGGTTGATGGGCATACCAAGTCCGAGATATGATTAAGTTTCGAGATATGACTTTTAATATCTCTCATAGAATTCATTAGAATTTTCTTGTGTGAATTTCGTAAACCACTTTAGTATATGATGACCACCACCTTCTCTTCTGAGAAATGTTGACTCTTTCACTTAAACCAGAAGTCCAAGTGAGTATCTGATGACCACCACCTCCTTTCTTGGGAATCGTGACTCTTTCACTTAATCTATGATACCAACTGAGTATATGATGACCACCACCTCCTTTCTTGGGAATCGTGACTCTCCATAATACCAACTGGGTTTTCAATTACCTCCACCTTCTTTTATGGGAATCTTGAATCTCTCACTCAATCTAGAATATTTATTAAGTATATGATGACCATCACGTGCTTTCTTCGGAATATCGAATCTCTCATTTAACTCTACATACCAATTTAGAATATATTTACTTTGTTCGATTGATGCATTTTATTACTTCCTTTAGATATAACATGTTACTCATTTATTAATTTCATACCTTATATCAACTATTCGACATATTTGACCCATAACGTTTTTATACCTGCAGCAAAACAACGATTTCTGCCGCTTCTAATTTTGAACTGACAGACTAGAATAAAGGCAGTTGGTCAACAACACGCACTGCCAACTCTTGGACTACTCTTGTCTGACCGTATAGTGGGATTTGTCCGTCAGTCTTAGAGCGCATTCACAGACCCCGAAGTGCGGAGCGCGTTTTTGTGGCAATAGGATGCGAACCACAAACATTCGGATTCACAGTCCCAGCGCTATTACCACTAGGCCACGCCTGACTTAAAATGGTTTACACAGTGTTTTTGGGTATAACAATTGTCTTGTATAATGAAAAGTATTTCATTAACTTTTTAAAAATTAGCACAGTGTTTTAGCCTACAAAAAAAATAACAACATAAATTATGGACTTATACCAGATGTTATACAAATTATGGACTTACACCAGATGTTGTCATTTTTATCCCTCCCAAAATGTCAAAATAATGAAGATTTATTTGTTGATGAAACATGGATCTGTTGAAGTAAAATAATCTTACGGAGATTGTTTTTCAAAGGACAAACAAGTAAATGATAACATTATTTCAATAGAAAAAAGTTGTTTATATATATTGTTACATTACATTTAACTAGTAATTATTGGTACCAGTGTTGTTAAATTTCCCTATTCAGATTACATTTGTCAATTCATTACTTATATGAATTGTTAGATTACACTTGATAAGTGACTATTTATATGGATATTTGAATTACACTTGATAAGTGACTATTAATATATATTTAACAATTACATTTGACAAGTTACTATTTTATGGATTGTTAGATTACACTTGACAAATGACTAATTATATGGATTTTTTAAATTACACTTGACAAAGTGACTATTTATATGAATTGTTAGACTGTATTTAGCAAATTATTTTTATACATCGTTTGCTTACACTTATTAAATTATTGTTATATAAACTGCTAGGTCACACTGAAGTTACTTTTTGTATTTATCTACATTACGCTTAAGCTATTATTTTTCACATTGCTAGATTACACTTGCAATGAGAAAATTTATGTGACTCAAAAGATTACATTCGGCATGATATTATTTATGTAAGTTGTTAAATTACTTTTGCAAGTTGTAATAACAAATACAAATATTAGACACCACGAGGGGTGATTCTATGAGCTTAATTTGAGAGGCGGGGCAAACAAGATGGCTAGAAGTAGAGCGGGCATGCCCCACCTCAACCCCTCTAGATGTTCAGTTGAAATATTAAAAAAGTATGTGATTTGATGCATTTTTGCAGTGGCGTTCCCTTTTTTTAAGTTATGGTCTACTATCTGAAACAAATTCGATGACGAGGAACCCACTTTGAGACTAATAATGGCTGGAGACGGCTTAAATGGGTAATG